GGTCTAGGCTGCACCCTAGTCAGCAGTGCTCCTATATAACAAAAAATGTAATCTGTACAATGCTAGAAGGCAGGAAATGTGTATTACATATGTAACTGATTGATTTCCAGCCTGGGAAGACCTACCATGTTCATGTAGACCTTCGTGGTCAGCTCTTCATCCTTCTCATTCTAGAAAAAGAAAAGAAAACGAGGTGATCAGATGATGAATCGCTCTCAGAGCTCCTGTGATAACCCACCAAACACACACAATGACCTACAATGTAACCACAGAGCCGGATTCCAGATGTCTGATGAGGGTGGGAATACAGGAAACAACATCACAAAGATACATCACACCCAACAAGACATCGACGCCACCATCATGACATAGGAGGAGGCTGGAGAAGATGTACTGAGAACCCAACTCCCCACCCAGGACTAAATGCGGATAATGAATGGGGACTGCTGAGGGGTCCTCAGGCCTCCTTTACTAAATGCCAGTTCATAGAGGAGAATGTACCTACACTCCTACAAGATCATCAGGGGAACAAGTCACAATCTGTGACATTAGAGTGTAAGCTCCTCTGTACAGAGACTGATGTGACTGGGGGGAGGGGACATTAGAGTGTAAGCTCCTCTGTACCGAGACTGATGTGACTGTGGGGGGAGGGGACATTAGAGTGTAAGCTCCTCTGTACCGAGACTGATGTGACTGTGGGGGGAGGGGACATTAGAGTGTAAGCTCCTCTGTACCGAGACTGATGTGACTGTGGGGGGAGGGGACATTAGAGTGTAAGCTCCTCTGTACCGAGACTGATGTGACTGTGGGGGGAGGGGACATTAGAGTGTAAGCTCCTCTGTACCGAGACTGATGTGACTGTGGGGGGAGGGGACATTAGAGTGTAAGCTCCTCTGTACCGAGACTGATGTGACTGTGGGGGGAGGGGACATTAGAGTGTAAGCTCCTCTGTACCGAGACTGATGTGACTGTGGGGGGAGGGGACATTAGAGTGTAAGCTCCTCTGTACCGAGACTGATGTGACTGTGGGGGGAGGGGACATTAGAGTGTAAGCTCCTCTGTACAGAGACTGATGTGACTGGCTCAGTGTTCTCTGTACAGCACTGCGGTATATGTCAGAGCTATTAAGTATAATAATAATAAAGTGCTCCCCTGGTGTGGCATACTAGGTCCTTGTATTTATACACAGTCCAATAATAGATCGTAATCCTCTGTGATAAGCATCAAGCTTACCAGGCTGATGAGCTGGGACAGACTCATCCCCACTTGCACTGTCACCTTCTCCTGGGGGGTCCTGGTGGGCCGGACAAGAATGCTGTAATTCTCAAAGAGTTTATCACGGAGTATAACCTCTTTGTTGTTGGCTTGTGCCAGCGCCGGTGCTCCTGAAAATCAAAGCATCACCATTGTATATACTGTATTCCAGATGTATTCACTCTTGAAGTATCTGAAGCAATATCTGCTCTATAGCCATCGCCCACAATGCCTGACCATAATGCCTGTATCTTCTGCTGCCATTATATAAGCAGGAGATTATCCGCTGCTATAGAGGAATATCTGATATAAAAGTCATGTGGATCTATCTCCCATATAAACAATGTTACTTTGTATCTCTCTATCTCCCTCTGATCAATGTTTATAAACAATGTTACTTTGTATCTCTCTATCTCCCCTCTGATCAATGTTTATATACAATGTTACTTTGTATCTCTTTTATGGGGTTTTTATACCATATTAACAGACTGATTTTTGGGACTGCTACAACTATTGTAGATTAGTGTGTGGAATGTATAATTCTTGGAATATCCCAGCTTCTAAAGATTGAACATCTGTCCCATGAAGAGACCCTGTCATCAGACCCTTCAATTCAACAAAAATCATCTAACAATATATGAGCATTTCACATACAGTATGTTATGCATGTAAAAGCCTCCCTTGTGTAGGCATAGAAAAGAAACGTCTACTAGGTGCCACCATCTTGGATTTGCTGTCAGACTATACTCATACTAACCGACATTTCAGTCCCAGTTCCTGGGACAAAGCTGAGGCCACCAACAGTCCGCTTTCAGGGAATTCATCTCCATAATGGGGGCAGTTCAAATCTATAAATCTCTGTAAGTGGTCATGTATCCCACACAGTTCTATCTTTGCTGCCCCTATATCCTCATATCTGCATCTCTATACTATATCTGCCCCAATGCCCCCCATCGCAGCACCTGCACCCTCATGTCTGCCCCAAGCCCCTCTTCACAGCCTCTGTATCCTATATCTGCCCCAAGCCTCCCTTTCTAAGCACCCCTGACCTGTATCTGCTCCAAGTCTCCTCCTCAGCTCCTGTGCCCTCATATCTGCCCCAAGCCCCCCTTCTGAGCCCTCTACATCCATATCTGCCCCAAAGTCACCTCCTTACCTTAAGTAACTCAGATCTACCTGCCCAGTCCCATTCTTTCTCCTTTTTATCCCCATATCTACCCTTCAGGCCCTTCCTCAACCTCTGTAACCCGTATCTGCCCTCTCTTTGTGCCTTTTATCCTCATATCTGCTCCCCCCACTTCTCTATACCCTCATATCCAGCCCTGTTCCTCTTCCTCACCCATTATACCATATTGCCCTAGATCCCCCTTCTTGGAACTGAATGCTGCGGTGTGAACTAGAGCCCAAAATACCATTGGAATGCATTGGACGCAGTTTTGATCTGGTCAGTAACTGCTCTGCTCCTGGAAGGCGCTTGGTGTGAACAAGCCCTCATACCTCCCTAGATCCCCCTTCTTACTCTGTATACCCTCATATTGCTCCCAATCCCATGATCACCCCTCTATACCCTCATATCTGCCCCTGATCCCCCTCCTCACCCCCTATAACCTCATATCTGCTCCAACTCTTCTGCTCACCTTCTCTAATCTCATGTCGGCCCATTTACCCCTCCAAATCTAACCCCTCTAACCCTGTTATCTGCTCCCAGTCCCTCTTCTCACCCCCTATACCCTCATATCTGCCCCGATCTCCTTCTTCTCCTCTCTCTACCGTCATACCTGCCCCTAATGCCCCTAACCCTAACCCTTCATTCCCCCTCCAACTCTCAAATTTCTCCCAGTTATTTGCTCACTTCCTATATCCTAATTTTAGCCCCCAATCCCCCTTCTCACTCCCTGTACTCCACATCTGCCCCTCAATCCTCTCCTTACACCCTGGACCCCAATTCTGCCCCATTTCCCCTTCCTTACCTTGTAGAACTGCCCAGCACAGAAGCAGCATTAGTAGGTGACTTCTGTCCTCCTCCATGTCTGTTTGTCCATCTCCCCCCTCCGGTCATGGGCTGCAGCTGCCGGATATGTGTGACAGACGGGACAACGGGGGGGGTCTGCGGAGTCATTGACAAAACTCCCCACACCTGTCACATCCTTCATGTGTCCGACTACACATACCACATGTTGTGTCATTGTATCCACTCCTATGTGTATATACAGTATATATATATACTCAGCCCTGACACCCCTCACATATATATATATATACTCAGCCGTCATGCTGGGACTTGTATTCCTCCAATCACATATTATACGGTGACAGTAAAAGGCAATGAGTGGAAGATTTTGCAACAAAAGGTGACTGTTATTTTTCATATTCTGTCTCTGTACAGAGGAGCTTACACTCTAATGCCCGGTCCCCCACAGTCACATGAGTCTCTGTACAGAGGAGCTTACACTCTAATTCAGCCAACAGAGCAGCCAAATGTGGACTACGCGGGGAATCTGCTCCTCACATGAATTCTGGGTTTGTTTGGAGTTCCCTTCTCTCTGCATTGTATTGGCTGATTTTGAACTGAATGTTGACAGCTGATTGGCTGGTTATCAAACACATTGTATCTAGATGTGAAACTTCTGTCTATGAGCCCTGAAGGAGGGGGCGGAGCCTGCTAGAAGAACCGCTCATAAAATATGTGAAAGAGAACAACTATATTCAGACAACCATCAAACTGAGAAATGTATTTCCAACACTGACCTCCGACACCCCACGTCCCACACTCAGCACTGACACCCCACACTTATCACTGACACCCCACATTAATCCCTGATACCCCACTTTCATCCCTGACACCCCACACATAGCACTGACACCCCACACTCATCCCTAACACCCCACACTCAGCACTTACACCGCACACTTATCACTGACACCCCACACTCATCACTGACACCCCACGCTGACCTCCGACACCCCACACTCACCCTCAACACCCCACAGATTTATCCCGACACCCCAAACTCATCCCCCGACACTCAGCCCCCACACCTCACACTCATCACTGACACCCCACACTTATCACTGACACCCCACACTTATCACTGACACCCCACATTCATCCCTGACACCCCACACTCAGCACTTACACCACACACTTATCACTGACACCCCACATTCATCCCTGACACCCCACACTCATCCTCAACACCCCAAACTACATCACTGTCCCCTAAACCCAGCTACACTTCCATTGCATCTCAGCACCCTATCAACATGGTGGACACCTCCTACCTGTACCATGTGACCCTCGGGAGGGACAAGCTGAAGAAACCGCGGGAGAAATGTCCTCCGTACATCCAGAAGAAGAATGATTCAGAAGATTGTGGGATCGGAGATGTCCTCATCCACAATGATGGGTCAGGTAAGTGAGGGGGAGAGCAGTATTAGACATGATTGGAGACCTGATAGTCATGGGATAGTTTTGCCCCTGCTCTGATATTTGCCCCTCCTGTTGCCCATGGGG